GCCAGCAGGTGAGAGCACCTGAGCAGGAATGCTGCCAGTGCCCAGTGCTGGGCTCAGGATCACTCCATGGCTCTCCTGGCTCCTCTGCTCTCAATCGCTGCTCTCAGAGCCAAGAGGGGAATTTCCTGTTGCAGAGAGGTATGTGCTGCACAGGTTCCCAAGCAGGGCTTACTTGTGCTTGCCTCCCTGATTGCTTTTGCTTTGAAAAGGGCTTAAACCCAGCCATTTTAATATGCAGTAGAGCAAGTATTAAAGGAGATCCTCAGGTGCTTATTTGTTTCCGTGGAAGAGGATTTGCTGGCAGGCAATTTTCCCAGGCTGTGGGCCCAGGAGGGGTGCTCAGCATCCCCTGAGGTGGAGAGCAAGGTGATGAGGGGATTTGGGAGAGACTGAGGGGGCCTCATCCTGCACATCCTTGGCAAGTTTGCTGTTAGACACTGGTATAAGTTTTGTTCCTGATCCTTTACTTTTCATCCCTATTTCAATCCCATTATAGTCACACCTGCAGCTGCTGAACAGTTCCCAGACTTCTCATTCCCATATTGAGCAATCCCTTTTCAGGAGCCTGGCTGCAGCAGAGCTCAGCACATCTGCTCTGGCCAGAGCCATTATTTCTGGTTTAACATCCCTAGTTTTGAGACTTCCTCCAAGAGTGTTCCCTCCAGGAGCTGGGGGGGCTGTCGGCCCTCGTCTCCAGATAATCCTGTGCATGGAAATGCTTCTGCACGTCTGCTCTGCACCACAGGCCCGGGCTTGCAGCTGCTGCCGAGTGATGGGTGCCCTGGGGAGCTGGGGAGTGCTGGGCTGGGGGGAACCAGTGCTCAGGGATCCCCCCATCCTGGCTGCAAACAGGGGTCACAGCGTGTTTTTAGGGATGATCTGCAAACACAGCGTGGCAATAGCAGGGGAAGAGGGCCCGGGCTGGCTCAGCAGTGTTTGAGCAATCCCATCTGCTGTCTGAGCCGCAGCAGACACTGGGGAAGGGAATATTCTCGTTTGCACTTGGTGCCAAGGCTCTTCCCTGAGCGGCGAGGGCTGCGAGCCATCAGCCCCAGTGCTGTTGCAGCTGCTGGCTCCTCGCTCAGGCTGTGTTCCTCACAGAGGGCTGTGTTCCTCACAGAGGGCTGTGTTCCTCACAGAGCCCAGCAACTGTTGTTTGCAGCGCGACGTGACCGCTCTGACCAAGCCCCGGGATTATCCGGCTGCTCTCTGTGCCGTTCCCGGCTGGCTGACGGGAGGCAGCCTGTGCTCCTTGCACTGTGCCCAGAGCCCCCCGGGCCACCCCTGCACGGGAAAAGCCCGATTCTGGGAGGCACTGAGTGCCCAGGCAGGCTGTGAGCATCGTCCCTCCCCGTGGGCTGCACTGAGGGTTTCTCCTGGCTGCGAGGTCTCGTTCTTGGCTCCGGCTGGGACCTGAATTGTGCAACTCGTTGGCAGCTTGGGTGGGAGAAGAGCTGGGTGCAGCCCTGGGCTGGCACGGGGCAGCCTCCTCCTGAGGTCAGCTTGTGTTTGGTCACAGTTTCTGGTTTTAAGTGGTGAGCTCGGGGCAGGAGCTGCACACAAAGGTGTGCTGGTGCCTGAGCACAGCCTGCAGCCATGGAGGTCTGTGGGAGAGCATCCCACGCTGTCCTGGCTGCGTGGTGACACCAAAACCTGCCTGGGCATTTTCAGTACCAGCCCCATCCCGGAGCACAGAGGCACCTGGATAAAAGCTGGTGTGGATGTGGCATCAAGGCAGCCCTTCCTGCGGGGCTGGCACTGGGATGTCACCTGGCACTTTCCCCATGGGCAGGTCAGTGCTGGGACAGCCACCAGCGCTGGATGCTCCGCTGGGCACTGCCACTGTGTCCCCAGGGCGAGCCAGGACCGGGCACTGCCTGTGCCCTGCCAGGACGGGGGGATTTAGGCCATGCTGCTGGGGCTGGTGGGGGCACAGGGGCAGTGCCAGCCCCACCAGTGTCCCTGCTGCCACCTTGCTTCTCCCTGCGACCCGGGGACGGGGACACGCGCGCCCGGAGCTCGCAAAGCCTTTAAGCTCCTCCTGTGATGGGCACAGCAGAAGGGGGAAGGATTACGCCTGTGCCCGGGTTTGGGTGAATGAATAACAGCATTCAGGGTCCTTCCTGCAGGAAAACAGGGCGAGAGCTGTTTTCAAGCGGGAAGAAAGTTGATCAGGCAGCAGCCAAACGAGTCATCACAGCCCTGTTCTGCAGATGGGGGCACGGGGCAAAGAGGAGCCCGGCCCGTGCCCCAAGCACAGCCATGCTCATGCCTGGGCTGCAGTCAGACACCAGCTGCTTCTTTCCTTTTTTGGGAAATCCAAAGGATTTTGCTTTTCCTGGCATCTTCCCAGCCCCTCACTGACATCACAGCAATAAGGGCCAGGAGCATGCTGAGCCCCCTCCCTGGGGGTCCCACTGCCCTCCCCATTGCTCACCTGAACATGCTGCTGCAGACACGCAGGAACTGGGGAGGGTCCTTGGAATACAACTACCAGCTGATCTTTTAAGTCAACTCGTGCCAATGAGGGGACTCGCTTTTCCTTGGATTTTTTCTTGTGCTGGTGTAGTGGTTTGCATTTCTCTGGATTAGCAGCAGGACTTTAAAAAATGGACTTAAAAGCCTTCATTTGTGGTGTTTCACCACTGTCACCTCTGCCCACGGCAGTGTTTGCCCACGGGGCACGTGGAGCTGCCCTGGCACTCGGCTGCACCTCGGCGTTGCCAAAGGTGTCCTTTGCAGCAGCCCCTGCGAGCCCCGAACCCCCAGGGTGTATGTCAGGGCTGGGAAGGTCCCAGCAGCACATTCCCTCAGGCCTGTTTGAAGCCAGATGTGCAGCAGAGCCTTTTGGGTGTATAAATATCTTGTCCCCATCCCTGATTTCACTCATCTTCTGACCAGAAGCTCTCTGCTGCTCGGCACGTTGTTGTGCTCAGTCACGCTATCCAGCACTTCCAGAGAGCTGTCCCAGCACTTCCAGAGAGCTGTCCCAGGCTCTCGTGCAGTGTTCACTAACACCTCCCCAGAGCAGAGGTGTTGGCATCAGGAGAAGCCCAGAGGGCTGGCAGGGGCATTGCCAACGCCTGGCGTGGTCGTGGCCCTCATGGTTACAGGGAAGACCTTAAATACACACTCAAAGACAAATGCTGGGAGACAAAGACCTCTCCAGCCACAGATGCTCCTTGTTACTTTATAGATCTGATGATTTTTAAAGAGATCTAGGGATTTGCAGCCTGATTCTGGGGGCTGATTTTGCTGTTGGAGGTTTATGGGCTGGCATGGCATTTCTGAGCCAACAGTTCTCCACAGAAACTCTCGTCTCCCTACGTGGATGGTGTGTGTGTTTGCAGTGTATTCAGTATAAACTGTGTTTTCCTGGGTGTCCAGGTTCTTTCACCACCCTCTTGGAGCAGCCATATCTTTTAAGGAGGTGCGTACCCCGTGAATGTGTTACAACTCAATTTAATACGTGACTAAACCAGCCATGCAATATTGCAATTAAAGTGTAATTCCAGAGGTGTGAACAATGCTGTGCTCTTTGCTGGGAATGAGTCAGGGGAGCGGAGGAGGAACCGAGCAGCAGCATTTTATTAATTGACTCCAGCGGATTTATTTGTCCTCGGTGAACAGAGCTGGGCAGAGCTGTCGGAATTGCTCCTGCTCCATGCCCAGCTCCTGCAAGGCAGAGCTGATCCTGGGGACAGAGCACAGCAGCGGGATGGAGACAGTTCTGGGCTGAGAATCACTTACATGGATACTATCAGTGAGCAGGAATGAGCTGGGGGCTCCTGGTGCTGTTTGGAAATGGCCCCTCGTGCCCAGCAATGAACCTGCTGCTGCTTTTCCAGGGGTCCTGTCCCACAGGCAAACAAATGCCACGGGAAGTGGACCTGGCCAGGGGCCCTGTGGCACCATCCTCAGCCCGGGGACCCTTGGCCGAGGTGCAGGGTCTGGTCAGGTGCTGATGCTGCTGTTTGCACGAGGCTGCTGTTGGTGCATCCAGATGCAAATGCTTCCAGGATTACAAAAAAGCCAGGGAAGGAGAGCAGAGCGTGCCCGGAGCAGGAGCAGGAATCCCCTGTGACTCCTCTGGTACCGAGCCAGAGCAGCGCTGTCCCTGGGGATGAAGGCTGGGGTTAACCAGCGTGGCAAAAGTGAACCTGCTCCCAGAGTTCCCGCTCAGTTCCCCACATTTTTCAAGTGTGTTTTGCTCTCAGCAGCCCCTGGAAGCCCCTGGGAAGCCCTTGGAGCAGCTCGGGGCTGTGAGCCGAGGCCAGGCGAGCGCTGTCACACACGGCCTGGCTCTGGGCAGGGCAGAGCCCGGCTGACCTTCAGAGGTGACTGCTCCTCCTAATGGCTTGGAATCTGATTATACCCTGTTCTGCTAAGAAATGTGCTTGGCACGTTCTTCTGCATTAAATACCATTTAGGGACAGTTATCCTGAACTCTCTGCCTGCTGCTTAGGAAAAAGCCTTTGAAAATGATATTATGGATCAAAAGTGTTCCTGGGGTAATTCTGTTTCAACAGTGGAGTTAATCCAGAACTGAATTTGGCCCTGCATTTCCAAAGGAGAAGCAGTAGCTGTATAATCTGTTTATGGTTTTAAAGTGAATGTTAATCTTGGATTTGGTGGCTTTTCCAAAGAGTCGATTTGCCGTGCTGCACAGCATTTTAGCCCCCTGCTCTGACACTCTCTGAGCCGACTCCATGTTTTATTTTAAAGAGCGATTTTACTGTGTTTATAAATACATGTCAAGCATGGAAATGTTAAATCTGGGCAGCCCTGGGCAGTGGAAGTAATGCCATTTTTCTTGCCCTGCGTTTTGTTTGTACAGCTCCCGGCACGGCACATCCCCACTCCGGCGTGCCAGGGATGGGACAGTCCCACGAGGACACAGTGGGATGGGTGGAATTGAACCGAATGTCCCTGGATGAGAGGGGACCTGGCGGTGTCTCGGGGTGCTGTCCCGTGGGTGATGCTCTCTCTCTGCCCCGCAGGTGGGAGGATGCCGCAGCGTGCCGGGGGCTGACCCGCGGAGCCACCGGCCGCGGAGAGCGGGACCCCCGCCGCCCACCCATGGTCCCCGCTGGCCGCCGGGGCAGCCCCCCGTGAGGAGGGCAGCGGGCACAGCAGCACCGTGGCCGCCGTGCCCCCGCCGTGCCCCCACCATGACGAGCCTCTTCCGCCGGAGCAGCAGCAACGGCGGCTCCCGCGGCGGCTCCTCCGCCCAGGAGCTCAACAACAGCCGCCCCACCAGGCAGGTCCGACGGCTGGAGTTCAACCAGGCCATGGAGGACTTCAAGACCATGTTCCCCAACATGGACTACGACATCATCGAGTGCGTCTTGAGGGCCAACAATGGCGCCGTGGACGCCACCATCGACCAGCTCCTGCAGATGAACCTGGACGGCAGCGGCTGTGACGACAGCTCGGACTCGGAGGACAGCATCCCCCCCGAGGTAACCTGGGGGGCTCCCCTGCCTGGGCTGCCCTGGCTGAGCTGTCACGAGCAGGCACCTCAGTCTCATCCTGCCTTCCTGCTGCCCGGGCACGGTGCTGCTCGGCTGCTGCAGGCGGGCAGAGCTCCGAGTGCCTGCTCAGCTGGTCTGGAGCGCACAGCCTGCCTGGTGTGTCCTGGGCACTGCTTGGGGCTCAAGCCAAGGTGCTCTCCCCACTCCCTCCTGCCCCAAAACCCAACAAGGACCCTTTGCTGCTGTCAGAGGGACTCTGCAGAGCTGTGTGCACCCAAGGACAGGCTCACCCACGCTCACCCCTTGAGCAGCACCTCCAAACTCCACCAACGAGGTTGACCCCATCCTCTGCAGTGTCGTTCAACCTGTGCTGTCCGTGCTGCTGCACTGAGGCCCTGGCCCATTGAGGAGCATTTCCTGTCCTGCCCTCACCCCATCCTCTCACCCTGCAGATCTTGGAGCGGACCCTGGAGCCGGATAGCTCGGATGAGGAGCCCCCTCCCGTCTACTCCCCTCCTGCCTACGAGAGCCAGGCGTTCAGCAGCCGCTACCCCCGTGCACCGCCCACCCCCCGCCCAGGTGAGCCCCCAGCCCCACACACCTCCTGCTCCTGGTGCACCCTGTGCCAGTCCCGGGGGTCAGGCTGCCATCAGCTGGCCCTGGCACGGAGTATCTGACCCCAGTTCGTTGGGGTCGGGTGGGATGGAGACGAGGGAGATGAATGAAGCTCACAGCTGGCTCAGCAATCCCTGTGAGGCCCTAAAACACGAACAGCTGAGGGGCCTGGAAAGCTGCTCTGGCAGTGTGTGGAATGGCAAAAATGAGCTGCCGGGGGCGGGGAGCGCTCGCCCCCGCTCGCAAACACCAGGTGCTGGGCAGCCGGGCTGTGTGGGGCTCACAGGGGCACTGAGCCCCGGGGTCTGTGCCCCAGCAGCACCACCATGGCTGGAGCTGTGGGGCTGTGGGACCCCTGCGTGGTGCCCTGGCCACCCCTGTGCCAGCCCCTCGGACATGGGCTGTGCAGGCCGGGTGTGATGTCTGGTGAGAGACCTTTGTCAGCTTCGCAGGCAAATCCCTGCAGTGCTGGGGCTCCACCAGGCTGGTTTTTGGGAGTCTGAGTGAAACAGGGAGGAGAAGGAAATCCCAGCCTGCAAAGACGCAGGGCAAGGCTTGAAATGCAGCTCCCAGAGATTCCAATTGCAGTAGGAAAGCCTTTCACTCTGCAGAGCTGACACTAACACCGCAGGTTAGGGAAGCGTGCTGGGGTGTCCTGGTTCCCAGGACTGCTGGTGGAGCTGGATGAGCTGCTGTGCCAGGCCCTGTGCCCCGCTGCTGTGCCAGGTGTTGGTGGGCTTCTCCCTCACCGAAGGGGCCGTCTGTGCTTGTCCCACAGGACGGACGTGCCAGGCCCCGGCAGCACCCCGGCACCCGGGCACTACAGGAACTGGAACCCACCGCTCCTGGGCAACCTCCCCGAGGATTTCCTCCGCATCCTGCCCCAGCAGACGGCCAGCACGCAGGTGAGGCTTGCTCCCCTTTCCAGCCTGCATCCCAGCTCCACAGAGCACCACGGAGCACTGCTCCCCGTTCTCAGCCACCCTGAGCTGCAGCACCAGCACTCTGGAAGCAGCTGGGTACTGGGTGTGCACTGAACTGAAAGCCTTGGAACGTGTCTTGTTCAAGGCGAGACTGAAGTGGGTAAGGTGTGAAAGGGGAATCTTTCAGGGAGGCTTGCATATTTGCCCTGCCATTATCTCAGTGATTGGTGCCAGAAATGCCACTTGCCATAAGCACCTTGTATTTTCAATTATTTGAACGTCTCACCTGCTGCCCTGGACCAGTAACACTGCAGGACCAACGGCACTGCTGGGGCACTCGGGGGCTGCTGCAGTGGAACTTGGGTGGGAAAGCTGGTGCAAGCCAGAGGATTTGCCCCTGGGAAAGCAGAGTCCCATGTGCTTCATGGCAGTTTTGAAGCCAACAGGTTTGGGTGCCCGCAGCAGGGCAGGCAATGGGCAGCACCCTGTGGGGAACAAGCAGCCCTGGCACAGACCATGCTGGGCATCCAGCTCAGTGCCAGGCATGCTGCAGTCTGGGGTGTCCTCAACTCTTTGCTAACTGTAAATGGGGCCAGCACCCTCCTGGCATGGCGAGGGGCTGGAGGGGCTGCAGAAACCCTGCTCCTCCCTCCCTTTTCGGCTCCAAAGGCAGCCTGCCACGTTTTCATGAATGATTGCCCTGCAAGTTGAGCTTCGTGGGCTCTATTACCTTTCTGGGAATAGGAGTGTGCCAATTCATTTGGGCTCAGGGGGAGGAGAGGAGCAGCTGCCCTTTTCTTTCCCCGGTAATTGTGTGCTTTTGCTTTTTATGGCTCTCTGGGAGCAGCTACAAATCAGATAAATATTGCAGGCAAGGCTGAGGTTGTGCTGCAGCGTGGGGCTGTGCTGCTCCCCAGGTGCGAGGCGTGACGTGCCTCACGCAGGGACGTTTGTCAGCAGGAAATTGCAGACTCTGCTTTTTTCAGAGATGGGAAATAAAAGCAGCAGTGCTGGCTGAGACCCTTCTCTTGCCTGTGGTGGTTAACTTTATAACCCTATGGTATAAAGTTAAAAACCTGGGCAGGCCTGTGCTTGGCACAGGAGCACTTCTGGCTCCGAGAGGTTCCCATGTGGGATGTTGGCTCCCTCTGTCCTGTCCCCCCTCCCGGTGGCCAGAGGCAGTGATGCCCTGTCCCCTTTGTCCCCTTTGCAGCAGCCCCATCCCAGGGGGACAGTGCTGTCCCAGGGACCTGCTGGGGAGCAGCAGTTGGTGGCTGTCCGGGCTGGGGTGAAGCATAACAGGGCCAAAAGGCCAAGTAGCCCAAGGCACTGGTGCAGGGACCCCCGGGCACCGAGACCACCACCCCACTGTGCCGTGTTTGCCTCCGTGCAGGGCTCCCACGGCTGCCGGCAGCCCCTGCCGAGGGGGCTCGTCCCGCGGGGCCAGGGCTCCCTGGAGCAGGAGCGGCGCTGGAAGCAGTACCTGGAGGACGAGCGGATCGCGCTCTTCCTGCAGAATGAGGAGTTCATGAAGGAGCTCCAGAGGAACCGGGATTTCCTCCTTGCCCTGGAGAGAGGTGAGAAGCACCTGCAGAAACCTCTGCTTTTTGGGTGTGTGCCCATCCCGTGGCACTGGCAGAGCCCAGCAGAATCCATAGCAAGGAGCTTTGGAAATGCCCTCTGAGCCCTCCCTGGCTGTGCACCCTCCCCAGATGCTGGCAGGCCTGAACTGGAGAGCAGTTTTCCCATGGCTGCTCCTTCCCTGTCACCACGCTCCTTCCCAGTGAGCTGGTTGCTCGTCCAGTGCCACAGGGAGGGTGTGGGTGGTTTTACTGCTGCTGAGGACAGAGCTGCCCTTCCCCTCCTGAGCCTCCCAGCCAAGGGGGCCTTGCTGGTGGTTTGCAGGGTCCTGGCAGCACCTTCAGGGCAGAGGCTGGAAAACCGTGAGTGTGCCTGCCGTGTGCTCGCGGTGGGTGTGCGGTTCCTCTGCTGGGTGAGGAGCAGCCCCACCCCTGCTGCTGGCTCCCACCGAGGGGCTTGTGGTCACCGTGCTGAAGTGTGGCCCCAGCTCCTGCCTTGCCATCAGCCTGTCCCTTGGCAGTCACAGGGCGTGAGGGCGGAGGGGAGGGAGCCGCGTGCTCTGCCCGAGGGTCTGATCGAGCGGGCGCTGTGCTTTCTGCTTTTCAGATCGATTGAAATATGAGTCCAAAAAATCCAAGTCGAGCAGTGTTGCTGTCAGCAACGACTTTGGGTTCTCCTCCGTATTATCAGGTAACTTCCAAGGCACACACGAGCATCATCTCTCTGCAGCAGGGTGCCCCACGGGCCCTGCATTCCCAGCCCTTGGCCCAGCTGCCTCCAAAGTGGCTGTGGGGGGAGGAAATGGGCTGATTCCTCCCTGCTGCCCCCCCAGCACAGGAGAGGAGCTGGTGGGTGATGGGAACAGATGCTCCTGCCCTCCCCTCGTGGAGGTGCTCCTGCATCCTGCCTGTCCATCCCTGTCCCCCGTTGCCTGGGCTGGAGCAGAGGGTTGTGCCTGGGAGGCATAACGACTGTTCCCTGGTAATCCTGATTAACCTCGGTGAGGGAGCAGCTGCCCAGAGTCAGAATTAGAGCTGGTGTCTGTCGATGGCCCCGCGCAGGGTCGGGTGAGACGCAGTGGCAGGGCAGCCTGGCAGAGCTCCAGCTGGGCACACGGACCTGGGGAAGGGGCACGGCCCAGCAGGCAGGGGGACACGGCTCTGGAGGTCTCTGGCCCACCCGACCGAGTTGGAAGTCCTGCCCATGCTGTCCTGGGTACCACGATCCAATACCCAGAGTGCAGGTAGTGCCCAGGGTAATTTGGGGCTGCTGTGCCCGGAGCAGCACAGAGGGAGGTGCCTGTGCTGGGACTGAGCCACCGCTCGCCCCACGTCCACTCACAGGGGGATCACGGTGAGGGTGGGCTGCAGGCCCACACCTGCACCCACCAACACAGGGCTGTGTCTGCTGAGGGCCCTTGTCCAGAGCCAGCCCCGTGTGGCAGTGCCCTCGTCCCTCCTGCTCTGGCTCAGCTGTGCTTGTGGCAGGGCTGTGCTTTGCTAGCACTAGAACTGGGTCATGGAAGTGGTTTGTCTCGAGTGTCCCCTCATCACACACCCCCAGTGACCAGATGTTTGCCTTCCAGGTGATGTAGCCCCCTCTGTAACCAGCGAGGCCGGCGGTGCCGTGTCTGACGATGCCTTATTCCGAGACAAATTGAAACACATGGGGAAATGTGAGTCGGTGTGCAGGCTCCGTGCTGGCAGCGGGGTGCCCAGGAGGGCTGGAGTGGGGGAGGCAGGGGGAGAGGTGGCAGCAGTTTCCACCTGCATTCCACATCCATGGGCTGGTGCATCCCCACCCTGTGGTGCTCTCCTGGGCCTTGCCAGTGGCAGGATGCTCCTGGGCTGGACGCTCAGAGCGGGTGGGACAGGGACACCCAGTCCTGCCGCCCCAGTTCTGCACTGTCCCTGTTCCCAGGCAAACCTAGGGCATCACCACAGGGTTGTGGGTGGCTCTCACACCTTGGCCCTGCCTGTCTCCTGCCCATCACACATGGCAGCTTCAGGAAGGTGTTGGAGCGAGACCCTCACCCAGTTCCTTCCTTCCAGCCACGCGCAAGAAGCTGTTTGAACTCGCCAGAGCCTTCTCCGAGAAGACGAAGATGAGAAAATCAAAAAGAAAACACTTGTTGAAGCACCAGGTGTATCCTAAAAGGGAACTGGGGGAGGGCCCAGGGCTGTCAGAGGGGCCTCACTCGGGTGCTCCCAGGGCTCCCCAAGGGCACGGTGTGGGCAGAGCCCCCCCGGCTGCCCCGTGGCAGGGCTGTGGGATGGGAAGGGGGATTGTGGTGCCACAGCCACCTCCTGGTCCCACAGCTGGTTTTCCTTAGCGAGGGGTGCAGGATGGGGACGGCGGCTTCCACGGCAAATCTCCTGGACAACGTGGAAGGCCATGGATATGGTAAGGAATGCTGTGCCGTGATGGGTGTGCTGTGCTGGGCGTGGCTGGCCCCAGGTCACCCTGGGGATGGCCCAGGAGTGACCACCTGGCAGAAACACCCCCGTGGGCCAAAACCCCCTTCCAGTGTTCTCAGTTATGGCAGAGAACCCCAGTGTCCCACTGGGAATTGTCTGTCTGAGCAAGGAAATCTCTGCCCCGGGACAGGGGCTGGGCTGCCTCCCCCTGGAGCACCTCCCTGGAGCTGGGACCATGGTGCATGGAGGTGTCCTGGTGTGGAGGTGGCTCCAGCCCCCGCCTGCCTCTGCCTTTCAGATGAAGACTTCCAAGCACGGAGGCAACAGCTCCGGGAGGAGGAGGAGACGCCGAAGGAAGGGCAGTAAATGGTGAGAGGCAGCCGGGGATGAGTGTGAATGATCCCATCCTGGCTGGAGGAGGGGCCATGTGCTCTGGGTGGGGACAAGCCCATCGGTGGCCGTGGCTGAGACAGGCCCACGTGCTGGTCATGGTGCAGCTGAGGCTGAGCACGTGCTGTTCTCCTTCCCTCCCTTCCCCTCCCTGCAGGTCCCAGCACTGGGGTTTCTTGCTGGCACAGGACGTGCAGGAGGCTTCAAGAGGAGATGGCTGGAAAAGAGAAAAACCCACCCAACAAATCACCCAGATTTTGGCTGTTCCCCCTCCACTGCTGTACTCCTCCGAAGTACAAGTATTGAAGTGAGGCACAGTGTTTTCTTACCAGCGGTTTGAAAACAACGTTTTCTATCCAGAAAATCAGCCAAAAAGGAAAAAAAAAAAAAAAGAAAAAAAAAGGAAAAACAAAGTGGGCAGCTGCTGCGAGCGGCTGTGGAGGAGCCAGCGGAGCTCAGAGCGGGGAGGAGCAGGCCCGCCTGCTCTCTCGGTCCGAGGAGGAATGAAATCAGTCGTACTAACGAGGATCCATTCACACGTGGGGTCTGCGGGGCCGGAGCACTCCTGAACATATCTGTAGTGGTCTGATGCAACTTCACTCTGCGCACACCGGAACAAAAACCACGTGAGAAAGGGAAGCTAACAGCCGTTGTCTATTATTGCTAGGAGTAATGAGCAGAGATTCAGATCAGGTAATAGTCAAATAATATAAATTGTTTATAAAGGAAAGGCCTTCTTTTCCTAGGCGTTTCACTTTGAATTAAACCTTTGCCTTCAGCATTGCTACAACTGCCTTGAAGTTGGGACGCTTTGTGCCGCCGCGGGGCAGCACCAAGGGCTGGATTTCGCACCAGTTTAACCCTCTCTGATGGAGCAGGACACGACCCACGGGGTTTGGGGTGCTGGGGGTGGACCTGGAGCCTGGAAGCTTCAGCGATGCCCCCGCTGTAGGTGAGAGGCAAAGCCCAAGCCGGGTGTTTGCAAGGCTGGTGGAGGTGTTTTCAGCACGGAGAGTTTGTACAAGGGCTTGGGGACACTGCTGGGTCTGGTGTGGGGCAGGAGCAGAGCCCCTTCCTCGTGCCCACAGCGCCGGAGTCGCTGCAGCTCTCGGAGATGCTGTCAGGCTAAAAATAATTACATAAACAAATTCCTTCGCTGTGTAAGTACCGAGTGACGAGCATAAAGGCAGAATTCGCTCCCGCCAGCACATTTTCTCCTCCTTTATCGGCACAGCACTCCCTGCCAAACGCAGGAGGTGGCTCTAGACGTGCCTGTTTCACTCTCTGGCTCCCGCCAACCAGCACAAATGTTGCAGGATTGGAGCTGCGAAGGCGGCAGACGCAGAAGCCCCAGCCATCAAACACTCACGCAACTGTTTTCCCTGCCTCTCCACGGGGTTTGGTAACAAAAGTCCCTGTTGCAGGCGCTGGCTCCCGGCAGGCTCCTCTTCCATCCCAGCGGAGCCCGCGTGCCTTTGAAGTGGACGCCAAGACTGCCCCGCGAGCGGCACGGCCGCTGCACCTGCTGAGCGCGGCTGTCGGCCCTGCAGCGTGGGGGTATCGGGGCACCCACGGGATTCACTTGCTCTTGGTTCCTGGCCAGGGCTGGTACTGCTCCCAGGTGTCTGTGGCTGCAGGGCCCAGGTGGTGTCTCCTTAGCTCAAAGTAAACGCTCCTGCAGCAGCGGCGCTCGGACAAACCCCGGGGTGCTGAGGGTGAGGGCAGGATGCACTGGGCTGGGAGTACCCGGGGACACCAGCGAGCTTGGAGTTCCTGAAATCAGAGCAGCAAATCCTAGCTTTGGTGTCCGCTTCTTTGCTTTTGAAGGAAGCATTGAGGAGCATGTCCCGAGCCGTGGCAGCCTGGTGACAGGTCAGAGCCATCCCACGCCGTGCCGTGGGCAAGGCTCGGAGCCCCCTGCTCCCTGTGGTGTGCCCAGCCATGCCTCAGGCTGCTCTGCAGCGTGCAGGGTAGGATGGGGCTCTGGAGGAGCCTGTCCCCTCCTGGCTCAGGGTGCAAGGGGCCTAAGTGTGAATCTGGGAACAGAAAATCCTTTAGTCCCTGGGTGGGACTTTCATTCCCAGCCTGAGAGTGGTGGAGAGAAGGACGGGCTCTTTCCTTACCCTCTGCTGGCCCTCGGGGCCATAGGAGGCTGCCGATACCCCTTCCCAGTCCAAAGCAGCTCTGCATATTTGGAGGAGAATCAAGGCTGGAAGCGGATCAGCTTGTCCCTGTTCCAGCGCCTCTCGGCTACCGAGGGCTGCGGTGCCGGCGGAGTTTCCATGAGCGCAGGAAGCAGCGGCGGGCGGGTGCTCTGGCTCTGGCGGGAAGGGAATTGTGCCCTGGCAGACCAGGAGGTGGTTATGGGAGGGCTGAGGCAGCAAGGCACAGGTTCCTGGGCACTCGCAGCTCACCCCCTCTGCCGAGCCTTGGAGGGTTCGCTGTGCCCGGGACGGGCTGGGTTGTGCCGTGGGGGATCAGCTGAGCTGTCCTTGGCAGGCTGTGGCTGGGCACGGCTCACATCACTCACAGGCCAGTCCTGCTGCCCTGCTGGCTTTAACTGCAGCCAGAGGTGGACACTGTCCCTCCTCTGGGCCTGCTCAGGTGGCACGTTCTGTAACCCCGCCAAGGTTTGCTGGCAGAGGAGCCTCGGGACAGCAGCTGCCTCTGCTTTCTGCCTGAGCACGTCCCGAGCGTCCGTCACCATCTGCTCCCCGTGACCCATCGGAGCCCACGGGGCTGGGGGGCATGTGAGGAGCGGGCAGAGGAAGGCAGGGTGGCCTGGGGGCTGTGAGCTGGGACATGGGGGCTCTGTGGAAGGGATGGGGGGCTCTGCCCTGCACAGAGGTGTCGTGGTGCTGGGGGCCCTGTGCCCAAAGCGGGCACCGCACTGCGGGGCTGGCACAGCGCCCCGGGGACGTCTTGGCTCACACCGCCAACAACGTGCCCTTAAACATCCCAGGCCTGGCACAGCCTCGGAGTGATGTCACTCTGTAGCCATGTCAAAATATCTTGGAGGCAACAAAGCATCATTTTAATGGAGGATGGAGAGGGATTATTTCTGTGTCCTTTAAAAAAAAACAAACAAAAAAAAATCAGGTCTAATGAGTAGAAAGGTCACAAACCCGGCTTGGGAGCCAAAACGCATTTCTTACATTAAAATGTCCAATTCTCAGTGATGTTTGTATCATTTCTCTACAAAAGGGTTTAAAAAGAACAAACCAAACTGATCTGTGATGTTTGTGAGTGTGACTGTTTTAGAATTTATTTCCATAAGTGATTTTTTTCTTAAAGATGTTTAATAGTAATTCCTATAATAAAGTCCTGTTGTACTCAACACTCAGGTGTATTTCTTCACTCCCATTTCTTTACAGGGGGAATTAAAAAGAAGGGGGATGGGGAAGGAAGGGACAGCTCTAGCCCAGCTCCTGCTGTGGCAGTGGCAGGGCTGGGGTGGCACACGGAGCATCCCTCTCACGTCAGGGATAGTCCGGAGCCCACTCCCTCTGCACCAGCTGTCCGGGAGCAGCCTTCAGTTCCTGGCAGGATTAGAGCTCCCCAGCCTCACGTGTGGCTTGGAAACCTTCCCTGGGAAAGAAGACCCTGGAAAAAGCCAAGGCATTCTTGCCTTAAATGTCAAAATCGTAGGAATGGTGGAGAAACTGTGGCTGTTGCCTTCCTGCTACAGCCAAGCGAGTGCCACGTGCTGCAGGAGCCAGGGCTTTCCAAGGAGCTGCATGGCCCAGGGCCTGCCCAGTGCTGGGAGCAGCTCAGATGCAGCCCTGGAGCAGTCCCAGCGACTCCTTTTTTAATTGCTCTTCTCCACAGGGACAAGGGTGGTTTGTGGTTTTGTTTTTTTTTTTTCAAACCCGTGTTTTAAGAAAACCAGCGGCTGAGAAAAGCCCAGGGCTGGGAAGTGCTGAGATGAGGATGAAGCTGGAGATGTGAGAGCCCGGCAATACCTGCTGGCTGACAGGCTGCCGTGGAAATTTACTGCCCCCTTCCTTCCCGAGGCTGGAAGATGGAAGCAGGGATGTATTTTTTTTTTTTTTTTCCCATCAGCTCATTCCCAAGCTAAGGGCTGCACCTAGTGACCAGCTCCCTGCCAAGCCAGGCTGGGGGAAATGCTGACTGGAGCAAGGCTGTTCACACAGGGCCCGGGGTGGAGCTCCTGGCCTTTATAAATGAAGGTAGAAAACACAGAGGGGGACACTGTGGTGGCCACGCTGCCACCTCCAGAGCCCAGCGGGCAGGGCTGGGGCTGCCAGGGCAGGATCAGGGCAGGGAGCAGCCCCTGGACTGTGCAGATCCCACCATCTGCTCTCTGTCTGGGTGAGACCCAACACCAAAAGGTGTTGGACCTGATGATCTCAGAGGTCTTTTCCAACCTTAATGATTCTGTGGTTCCGTGAAAAGAGTCACCAAGCCTGCCAGAGCTCAGGGAGCGTTTGGGCAACACTCTGAGGCTCGTGGTGGGATTGTTGGGGTGTCCTGGGCAGGACCCTGCCCAGGACACCCCAACAATCCCACCACGAGCCTCAGAGTGTTGTACTTGATGATCCTTGTGGGTCCCTGCCAATTCAGGATATTCTGTGAGTCCATGAAAAGGTGAAGGGGTGAGACTGACCCTCCCCACACCCCACCTGGTGATGGTTTGCAGCCCCGTGTCACCCCCAGCTCCCATGCCCTGGCTGCCACGGGGACACAGCAGTGTTAGCTTGGGGACAGCAGACAGGGCAGTTCAGTGCAGGGCAGGGGAGAGGAGCCCCAGCCCTTTTGGGGACATCATTGCTGATGCATGGGGAGGAACCACTCCGCTGTGGAGGGGCAGGCACAGCATCTCCGAGCTGTCCCCTCCTCTGAGAGGAGAGGGGACTGGGCAGCAAGGGTGGGAGCAGCTCCTGCTTCCCTTGGAGCTCTGTCCATCCCCAGGACAGCTGTCCTTCCCTGTCACTGCCGCCCTGGCCCTGCAGCAGCCCCGATGGCTCCAAGAGAAACCGGAGCCCGCACGTGCCTGGCAGGGGACAGTGACAGCTGTGTCCCCACAGCCCGTCCACCCTCCAGACCCCAGCACACCACAGCCCCGAGGACGGGGGTGTGGGAGTTTGGGGAAGCACAGCTGGTGCCACCTTTCCCCAGGGCTGGGGCTTTGGGATTTTGGACACTTGGGAGCTCGCTGCCCCCCCGGGAGGGCTGTGACCCCAAACCCTTCTGCTGCACCCCCTCACCCCCGGTGCCTGGCCTGGAGGAGGGGGTGTTTGGGAGCAGGGGATGGATCTCAGAGCTGCTGGGGGGGGTGCCAGGGGGCTGGGGGGTCCCCGTTATCCCCCTGGGGCTGGGTCACTGAGGGAGCTGCTGCCGTCCCAGCGTGGGGAATGGGCTGCTGCGAGCCTCGGCCCTGCCGGTGCCGCCCGGGCAGGGGCTGAGGGTGCCGGGCTCACCGGGCCCGGGCCCCGCGTGTCGCGATAGCCCCGGGTGTGTGTGGGGCGACACACGACACGATCCGGCTGCGCCGCCGCTCGGCCATCGGCTGGCGTTGCCTGAGCGCCGTCTCCCGCTCGGCGCTCGGCTGCGCGGCCTGGCGGCGTGCCCGGTTCCCGTTCCGGTGTCCCGGGGATCGGGGGGATCGGGGGGTCCCGGAGTGTCCCGGGGTGTCCCGGGGGGTCCTGGGGTGTCTCGGGTGTCCCGGAGCGCCCCGCCATGGCCGGGAGCCGCACGCAGAAGATCGGCAGCGTGTTCAGCCGGTGCGCGGAGGGGGCTCAGCCGGGGGTGGCGGGGGGGTGTCGTTCCCGGTTCCCGGTCCGGGCGGCCCCTCCTGACCCCCTTTCCCCCCCGGTTCTCCCCGCAGGACGCGGGACCTGCTGCGCATCGGGATCATCAGGAAGCCGCTGTGGTTCGAGGTGTACGCGGCGTTCCCGCCGCTGCGGGAGCCCCTGCACCGCCCGGTGCGGCCGCGCCGCGGGCGGGCCGCGGACCCGGTGCGGCCCGTGCTGTACCGGGAGGACGAAGTGCGGGCGTGAGTGACCGCCGGCACACCGGCCTGCTCCTGCAACGTGCCCCTGCCCGGGGAGTTACCCCAGTTGGGCGGTTTGGAACGACGCGATCGTGAATGTCCCTCCCAACCGGACCGTTCCGTGACCCCAGGGAATGCTGTGTTGGGAATACTGAGCAGAATGACGTGCTGTTAGGGAGCCATTCGCTGAAATTCTCTCGTGGTTCTCTGTGTCTCACCAGTTGCTGATCGGGGACCAGTCCCAGTTACACACTGGGGTTGAGTGATGGGAGCTTCCACAGGGCAGGTCTGAGGAATGGAGCCTCGAAGCTGCTGTGGGGTAGAAACAGGTTTTGAGTAAATCACCTAAATCCAGCTTTTGCTTCTTGGCTTGTGATTTTCTTGAACAAATAGGACGGTTTTTCCATGATCCTCCCCGTGTGTCTCGTGGCTCGTGGAGGCTCCTGTGCAGCAGGAATGGCAAACACACCTGTACAGAGCTCCAGGCTGGGCTTAACCCTCTGGGGAGTTCCAGAGCTGCTCTGACCCGTGGTGATGATTAACTAGAATTTATTAAAACCATTAAAAATGCTGGAACAAACATCTCTGTGGAATTCCAGGCTGGTTTGGGACCTTAAAGCCCATCCAGTCCCTCCCCTGCCATGGGCAGGGACACCTCCCACTATTCCCAGGTTGCTCCAGCGTGGCCTTGGACACTTCTAGGTGTTCATAAGGGCTCCTGGGCAAAGGAGAAATAGTTCTGTGAATGCTTTTTATTGCACCCTGAGCTAACAGACCCTGATGTTGTTTATTTACCATTGATTTCACTTGCAAAAACTCACCTGTTTTCTTTTCTGACCAGGAGATTTTACAGAGTTTATGGCAGTGGTCCGAGGCCTTTCGACCTGACACAGTTAAACTTCAAATCTACCTGCCAGAGGTAAGGTTATAATTAAACTGGAGATATCTCTGAAACTTGTCCCTTCCTCCCCTTCAGTCACTGAACCAAAATGTTATTTGTGAGAGTGAAAACACGACCTTGCAATCCAGGTTTGTTGAGAAATACAATGAGCTGAAGGAAGAAGGGAAAATTGAAGAGGAGAAATTGTTTGAAGAAACAGGAAAGGCTCTTTTAGCCAGTGGGATCATTCTACAGAGGAGAACAGCAGATAAAGTGAGTATTAAATATTCACAGAGTCACTTGGCTGGTGGGTTGAGGAAACCCCTCTCCCAGGCCTCTGATACTGGAGTGGTCTGGGATAAATTCTCAGCAAAGCAGTCAGACATCTGGTGGTCGTAATAAAATGTCTTTGCTGTGCAGAGAAAACTTTCCTCTTGGTCATGAACATGTCTGGCCAAGGTTAAGGGGCTTGTGGGACAGAAAAGAGCTTGTTCTGGTGATAAAAGATTGAATAATCTTTCAGATAAGTGTGTGTCTGTAGAAACTATTTGGAAACATGTTTGTGTGCTGCTCTGTATTGAATTTTTCCATAATAATAATAATAATAATAATAATCATCTCAGCATGAATTAATTGCTGTCAGTGTTTCTGGACACACAGAGGGCTGTCTCTCTCCTCAGTCACCCTTCAGAAGCTGCTTGCACCCTGTTTTGTGTGATTTTGTGTCTTTCCCTGCAGGTGGCACAGCAGGAGCACCAGGGATCTGCTGGAACCAGGGACCCTGCCTTGCAGCAGCAGCTCCAGACTCTGCTGGAGGAGCTGCAGGAGAAGAGGAAGGGTGGGGAGGAGCAGACACCAGAGCTGGCAGGGACACAAAAGGAGAATCCCCCTCCCTCGTGACAGCTCTGCTGCCCTGGACTCTGCTGCCCCTGTGCCCTGGCTGTCCCCTGTCAGGATCCAGACTCCACACCGAGCACTTTGGGACATTTCCTGGGGGGAATCCAGCTCTGGTGCCCCCAGACTCATGAGTGTGACACGTTTTCCTCCATCCTTCTCCTCAGTGATGAAATTGGAGATAATGTGGTTTTTTTTTTTAAGGTTCAAGGCTGTTATCTCAAAGTGTGAGCTGGAAAATAAGAGTGGAAAATAAACCATTTTCTTTAAAAGTTGGAAGTTCTGCCTGTTCAGGTGTCTTGTTTGCAGCGGTAAAGATGTTTCCTGCTGTGGAAGTGGCAGGTCCTGTGTGATGCATCCCAGCAGCTGCCTCAAGTGTCATCTTTTTATAGCTCACTGTGGAAGGTTGCTCTTGATAGAAATGGAATAATATGCTCTTCCCATTCTTTTATTTGCTTAAATTCAGGGTGGGATGAAGTGTGGCAATACCAGATAATTGGGACCTCTGTCGTTTTTGGTGACTCCTAATGAAATTGGAGAAAGTTGAAAGTGATTTTCTCTTCTTTTGTGTGTTAGAAGTCTCCGGGGTGGCTCCCGGGGGCAGGTCCCACCCAGCTGGACCAGCCCTCCCTCGATGGGCTCAACTGGGAGCAGCTGGAATTCCCCTCAGGGGCAGCTGTGGTCCGGGGGTGGAGTCAGAGGCCCCTCGTGGGTTTTTCTTCCCCTGGAACACTCCAGAATGGTGCCTGTCCAGCTGCACAACATCAGTTTCCATCACCACAGGAAAGAGCTCTATTGCCACGTGCTTTCCTACTCCCACCCCAGCGTGCCCAGGGAGCCAGAGTGTGACTCGGAAAATGCAAAACCCCTCGGGTTTGTGGAGCAGCAGTGGGATGGGAGGGTGCAGGTGTGCTCCACGCTCTGCCCAGCTCCTGCACAGGCAGTTGTGTCCTTCACTGGCGTCTGAACCCTGTCGTTCCGAGGCAGGTACGTGGCCAAATTTGTGGGAAAACCTGTAAATTTATACGGGAGTCTACACTTGGTGGGGGAGAGAAGGAGAACAGGAGCCTTCCCGTGGTGTAAGGGTGGGAATCCTCTGTTGGAAGCTGCCGTGGGCCGGGGCGGGCTGGGTGATGGAGGAGTGGCTGGAATGTTGGTACGCCAGGTGGGCAAGGGCTGCGAGCCGGAGCGGTCGGTGCATCGAGGAGCAAACCCAGCTAAGCCCAGGGCTCCGCGGGTTCGGATGGCGTTGGATGGGCGCGTTTGCTGGGCTGGGAGGCGGATCCCGGGCGCCGGGACACGCTGGAGTTCAGCGACTTTAATGAAGAGGTTGAGGGCAGCAGCCGGGGGGGGTGATTTGTTACTTACGGAGCATTCACCCGGCAGGAGGGGGTCCGGGGGTGTCTGTGGGAAGGGTTCCCCGCAGCCCCTTCCCCGGCGCTCCCCGCTAGGTGGGAGCCGCGCTCCGCGCCGGGAGCGCTGCCGGCACCGCCGGCCCCTCCCGGAGCCCGGCAGGGAGGGAGGGCACGGGGGTGGGCACGGCAGCCTTGCCGGCCTCCCGCAGGCCTGCGAGAGTCCGAGCTTTCCCCAAAAAATGTTTGAAAAGGCATCTCCTCTCCCCCCGGGAGCAAGCGGGGTGGGAGCCGGGGGATGCACTGGGGGAACTGGGGAGAGCCATGGGGTGCCCTGGGGAAGGCAGAGGCTGCTCCCGGGAGAAGGACACGGCTGTGACTCCGTCACTTGCCCTGTGCCTCGGGTCGGGGACCGTCCCCACCCCTGGCGAACCCTCCGCTGCCACTGAAGCGCTCGCTCGTGGCTCGGAGCGGGGCGGTCGCTGCCTCGCCATCCCACACCCGTCCCGGGGCAGCCGTGTGACCTTTCCCGGGCTAAATCCCGAGCTCCCTCCTCCCGCAGGGCGGCAGTTCCTCTCGCTGATTGCCGGGCTATTTTAAGTGACAATAAATGCCGAAGGATCGGTTACACGGTGCCTTACTCCTCGAGACATCAAAGAGATGAGACAATCGCGGGCAGTGACACCTTCCACTGCTCTGACGCAGCCAGGCTGAAGGTTTTCCAAGGTCAATTCCTAAAAATGTGGGCTTCACCTGGAAGTTTTAGGATGAAAAACTGCCTGGTCTCTAGCAGGCACCCCTGTAGGATCTAGAATGCAGGTACAGTGGTGCGTGCAGTGGATGGTTGGAGACTCCTAGGGATGTTGCAGCATTCCTCAGACTGGTGCTTTCCCAAACAGTGCAGGATATGTCCTGCTGGAGCAAATGCCTCCAGTCCCACAGATCAGGGCTGTAGGGCTGGGCTGTGAGCTTGGCCAACGTCTTAACCCATGGGCAGCTGCCCCCACAGCACTGCTCAGCCCCTTCACGTGTTCCTGGGCAGTGGATTATCTGCTGGTATGTGTTGAGGGTAGGGAAACTAAGGATTTAATAGGATCAGGTCTAATGTCTGGAGCAGCCAAAATAATTCCTCAGCTTTGCTGGAAAACCAGGTGATCTGACCTTGCCAATGCCAAGCTTCATCGAGGCAGATAATAAAGGATTTAATGTTTAAAGAATGTGGCTCCAAGTAAGATATAAAATTGTTGGCATTGCCACACTGCAGATTCCTCTGTGATTTGCCTCTGCCCACCCCTGCTTGCACACACACACACATCTGGTCTTCGAACCTGTCCCTTTGAGCTTTGGAATTCCAGAAGTCTGTATCTGTTGGGAAAATGGATGGTGGAATTGGAGCAGGGCAGTGGAGTTCCCACACCACAGTGGGGATGGCACACAGGTGGCTCCTGCTTTACAAGGCCTGGGCAGCATCAGTCCTGCCACCTGCCTGGTTCTGATTCTAAATGAACTCTTTCCGAGGAACTGGGATTGGTGCTCTTTGCAGTGCTTTGCTTCTGCAGCACCAACAATGCCCAGCTCATGGTAATTCCTTGCCCAGCAGTTCTGGGATGTGTGAGATGCAGGGCAGGAGGAAGGAGCAGTGGGAGGGTTGGAACATCCCTGTGAGGGCAGTGGGTTGAGTTCAGTGGTGGCTCAGGGTGAAGAAGCCGCTGCTGTTTTGCTCTGATCCTGAGGGCTTTGCTGGCACAAAGCGATGAGCAGCCCCAAGAAACCCCTGTGACCTTGTCCCGACGGGCTCTTACCTCAGAGCCTGCAGTGGGGCTGCTCCCCTGGGGTCAATCACTGCCTTGGGGCAGTGTCACTGCCTTGGGGTCACCACCCTGCCTGCTTGCCCAGGCTGGGGATTTGAGATCTCCCCTGAACACAGCAGTGATTCGGGATGTCCCCACTGCTCTGAGACCTGGAGCGTTACAGATGCTGGGAGGGTCCCCCCAGGAGCCCGGTGGCTCAGCTGCCCTTGGCTCTGTCTGTCCCTGAGCTGCTGCTGCCTCTCTGCATATTGCAAGCTCATTCTGATGTGCGCTAATGCTATTATCCTGCAGAAATTGAAATCAAGTCTGAACCTATAATGTTTCACTGGGAGGGAATTGGGGTTATATATTCCTGTGTACAGCAGCATTCTATTTCAGTCATAGCATTTAATTATGATTGGTGTGTTAGTGCCCACCAGAGCATAACAAATTGTCATTATGTTATTCTGCTGAGTCTAATTTAATTGGCAAGTTGTCACAAAAGCAATTATCCATCATTTATTTTGTTGCCATAACCACATCTTGGAGAGCACCTGCTGTCTGAAGTGGAAAGGCTCTGCAGTCTCTTGGTCCTGGATTTCTTCCACTTGCCTGACACAAAGACACCATTTCCTCCTCTCATTTAAAAATATGTTCCTCATTTCCCAGCACGGGCTCGTGTGCGGGGCTGGAGATGCCGCAGGAAATGCTCTGTGCAGGTGGTGTCTCTCTGGGCATCCCAGGCTGGTGTGAGCTGTGGGGTCTTGGTCACTCTGGAGCCCTCAGAGCCAGCTCAGTGCACTGTCTGGGGTGGTGGTGGTGGTGTGAGAGCCTTGGACCTTCCTGCCTCCTCACTTCTGGAAGGTCAGGGTGAAATAAGGAGAGAAAGGGAAACGAGACATTCTCTGCCTGCAGTAAATACAACACTTGGCTTCTTGCAAATCATTTTGGGGAAGAAGGGGAGGAAAAAAGCCCTTGAAGTGCTGATGGTTTATTTTGGTGTCTAAAGGTACAAAAGGTGGGCCAAGTGTGCACAGAGATGTTCAGATGAGCTGAGGGAGTGCAGGGGTTCAGCCCTGGCACCTGCAGCCCAGTGGTGCCCTCTCATTCTGGAGCTGCTCAGTTAAGGAACAAGCATATGATGTGTGTCATTCATGTTGTCCATCACCAAACTGCTCCTGCCCTGGCGATGTGCTCCTGTTGGCAGCACCGCTGGCTGGTGAAGCACAGGGCACCTGTGGCGTGGTGGGTGCTGAAACGCACCCAAACTCCCCCACCTGCCATTCCCTGCATCCCAGAGCTGCTGGAATCCATCCCCCAGCCACTGCCAGGCAAGCTGGGGTGCTCTTCACTGAGCGAGTTCCAGATAAGGCATCTGGGCTCCCAGAGAGATTAGGAGGCTGGTGAGGGAAGATTAGTGGTTTCTTATAATCCAACAGGCAAAGCAATATCAGACTTCCCGAGACCAACCCAAAACTGCTGATTTTCTCCTTCCTGAGATGGCACGGAGCTGTGACCTGTTCACTTCTGAGATTTTGCAGATTGCGTCCCAAAATCCTGCAAGGCTAATGCAGACTCATGAACTCGAAGCCTGTGACTCGCTGTGATAAATGAGTAAATAAATGAAAATCTGTTCTGATGTCTGTATTTCTTTGAGTTACTCCCCTCTCCACCCTGTCTGTAATCTCTTCCCCTCTGGTAGTTCTGATTAGCTGCTAATGAGGAAAGATGATTTTGTAGTTAAAGCACAGAGAGAGGTTTTTTTCCTGGTTCTGTTTTTTTATCCCTTCTATGCCTTGATTTCCCCATCTGTGCGCCAAGATACTGTTGATTTAAGATGGATGGTGTAAAGTTAAATGAATCCACATTTTCGAAGCAATTTGTTTTGAAGGGAGGGTACAGTGTCTTGGAAAGGGAGGTTCAACCTGAGGAATCATAACTTCTCCCTCCTGGTGTTCCCCCTGGGAATTTTATAATTTCCATTCCCCCTTTGCCCTTTGGCTGGTGTCCACAAGGAGAGGAGCAACAGTGGGAGGGAGATGGCAATCCTGGGGGAAAGAAATTCCATGTAATGCAGTGGTGGCTCTCGACAGAGCCTGGGAGCCACTGGGGCAGGTGAAAGGTGCTGGGTGCAGGG